GTATTCTTGCAATATATTTGTCGTACTTTGATTTACTGATTTTATGTTTCAACGGTTCTACACATAGTTTTGTCCGAGTACGGGAGTACAAATCACAGGATCAATTTATTTGATGACGTGAACTATAAACGCGTAAAAAATATCATTTATAATATTAGTCGATAGCAAACCGTGGTGCATTTTTTTTTTCAAGCTGGCTGACCAGATAGATTCAGAGACTTTTGTTACAAGAATAAAGTTTGAACTGCACAATCTCGCATGAATTGTAATTCGTATATTATACAAAGACACAATCTACAAAGAAATCAAGTCAAGTCTGGTATAAATATAAATTCAGTGTCCAATGTAATACCGCATGTACTACGAAATTCGAATAATCAAAATAATAGTAATAATAATAATGATAACAACGATAATTATAAGCAAGCAGGAAAAGTAATATAAAGAAAAAAAAAATTCTACTACAGTTCTTTGCAAGTTAATGCTCGAATATACATATCTATATATATGCTCTTCGAAAAACGTGATCTATATTGTAAAAAATGATAGCGAAGGTTCATGCATCTGAGGATGCACAGATTCATCAGAGTGGATCATTATACAACGGATGTGGCAACTCTTTCAACCGATCAGGAGTCGCAGGTGAAGATATTGGCGGTGTGGATAACGGTGAATTTGATTTGCTATTCGGGTTTGATTTTAACTTCAGGCTCAAACTGTTTGACCTCGACGGCGTTTTTGATGACACAGTGGATGTGGAATCTGTTTTTTCATAAGTTGATGCGCTGTTCGATCGAAGCATCGATGGTGGCGGCGAACTCGAGCCGGTTTTTACGCCTGCTGTCGAAAAGGAATTCTTACTACTTCGTGATAAGAATGATGAGGGAAACGTCGAAGATATATTATAAGACCATGATCTTGTAGAATTCGACGATGATGGCGCACTGCCATCGGGTAAATCGCTCGTTGGAAACGAAACCATTTCTCGCATTTTTGGTGTACCGGGTGTACTACTATTATTACTTCCGCTATCATCGGCGATTTCTGCAGGAGTCACACTACCGCTTCCATTACCATTAGTACCATTATTATTACTGGAAGTATCTTCAGCATCGGAATTCGCTCGCCCAGCAATATTCGCAACTGCTACTGCACCAATGTTAAATGTGTATCTTGCGAAACTCTGAAGAACATTTGCCTCACCGCTTCCGCCCGCACTCGGACTATTATTACCAGACTCTTTCTCTTCAGTGTAACCATTTTGCTTCCATGGATCACCTATATCATATTCCAATCCTTTCATAGGCGGCGATAGCGTCCGCGAATTTTCTTTCCACACATTACCACCATCCTCGACTCCGAGTGGGTCCGAATTAACGGTTGGAGACGCAGACCGAGAGATCGGGCTATCCAATTTCCGCCTGATCCGTGATGCATCAACGATCTCTTCGCTGGGACCGTTCAATTCTTCATCCTTCTTTCTAAACACCCCGGCCCAGTACTTCACATTCTTGACATCAGGAAATAACACACCCATATCCCCAAACTCTTCCCTATCTTTTTCACCATTATCATATAAATGGTTCAAATACTTTTCCCTATCAGAATTAAAATAATCCCATACAGAATGTGTATGAGATTTGGCTTTGTGCTCCACCCGTTCCTTCTCTGAATTAAATAGGAATGTTCCAAATTGGCAAGAGTAACAATGGTAGTGTAATTCAATTAGAAAGGTTTCATTAAATTCAAATCTTGTAGGGAATTGCGAATGGATCTGGTACACACAATCCAAAAATTGGTGAAAAACTGGTGAAGTTTCACGAACATGAGATTGTTTATAAAACTTGCTTTGCATCGAATTGAAAGCAGAATTTGCTGCGTTGGTGTTAGCCGCGTTCACAAAGTATTTTTCATTCGACAGGTGACCAGACCGGTCGCTGAATTTGTGACCAAAGGATATCCAATCTTTTTCCACCAGGACTTGAAATCCTCTCAGGGTACGATAATAGGGATCCAAACATAACTCGGAGATTGAGGTCAATTGTGCCGTACGATCCCAACCGTCCGAACAATGTACGAGCACGTGGGAGTTTGCAATGTGAACATTTTTTATGATGGTGAGTGCAGAATCCAATAAAGTACTGATGTGCCTGAGCCAATAGGATTTTTCTAAATGATGCCTTTTGATGGGCACACACTGAGCATCGGCTGAGTGTATCACTAAGTGAGTGTATTTTAGATAACACGGATTGTGAATCAATTACTCGTAGACATCAAAGTAGTATCATGGAAAAATGCCTTGCGTGGTCGATAGATACCTTCCACTAGCTTTCCTAAACTCTCTCTCATCACATGAATATTATCAATTCCCATATGTTTTTTCTCGCAGTTCTTATAATTCTCCATATTCTCCGTGCCCGCACCCATTGCAACATTTGCCATCGCATTAACAGTGGGGCGGGCATCAACAATAAGATTCGTGGCCGTCGCTCCATAGACTGGCTGCCCATTCGATGAGGTTTGGACGTTCGATTGAAAGACGGCTTCGATTAGTTTTTCATCCTGTATTGACCTATTCTGTTTGAGACCGACCATCGGTTGACTGGAACGTGTGATCGATGCCTGTGCACATAAAATAAAAATTCTGTTATCTTTTTTTCTGGGACAAGACCGCAACGTGTAGAAAAGTAAAATCAGAACTTCACAAGGACCTTATTATACCGGTGCAAGTAACTTAAAGCGGGCACTCGATTTTTACTTCTGAATTTAGAAGCGTGATTTAAAACGTTATCGCTAATTTTCGAGGGAACCACTAAAACTTGTGGGTACGTCGGACAAAACTATGTGTAGAACCGTTGAAACATAAAATCAGTAAATCAAAGTACGACAAATATATTGCAAGAATAC